TCTGCTCACTTGCTAACTAGTTTACATGCACTCAACTACAGTATATGATGTTAGAGTGTAACAAAGAGTCTTGTCTTTGGAAGAAGTCTGGCCCATCGTAGGTCAAAGGTCACTGCTTTTTGTGACAATAAATGTTCTAAACTAATCCTCATACCAAAGTATTATTCTATTTGGCTTTATTTCCCCACTGAACACCATTTTTTAATTTCTTTTTTAAATTAGCTAAACTAAGTTGAAATCACTGCAGTATACGGTTCTGGCCTTTCACACTGGTAAATCTAAATAATAACAGGCCTGCACCTTGCAAACTGTAATGTGTATGAACTTTTATTGATCATTCACTTCAATGATTAAAATCTATTTAATTTATATTAGCCTAATAATTAACCCCATAACATGGACTTCTCCTCCTTAAGTAACTTTAAGGTTACCACATTGTCAGGCACTATCATACACAGGCCAAGCCTGCATTGGCTTTTTCTTAATTGAAGCTACATGATGTGTTTTGTTCTAGCTCGTCATTAAAGCTACAGTGAAATATTCAAACCCAAGGCTCCATATGGTTATGGCTGCATCATTTTATAAACATTTCCCCCCAAATTCTGCCTGAAATATTTGGTATCTTTGAAAGCTTCTGTGGGTTTGAACAATGTTTGGCTCCACAGCACAGGTCTGTAATGTGTAACCGTTGAATTTAAGAGAACAGGGTGTGGGATTTGCTATCTCTTTGCCTAAATAAGTCCAGAGTTTACTCCTCTGACACGTTTTACAGTCTGTATATCATAATACAAGCAAAAGTCAAGTCAAAAACATTCGATTCTTCATACTTCTAGACTGCCCTCTAGTACTAGTTGGGGTTAAGTTCAGACTAAGGTAAGGGGAAACAGACTTTGACACAACTCTGGCACTGATTCAAGATCAGTGAGTCCATTGAACAAGCTGCTGACAAACAACTGACTAAGCAAATAATCTTACCAATAATGATTACTGAGCTATTTAAACAGGTTTGACGTGTTTGGGGGAAACTGAACCTTCTTTATTATATATAGTTTTTCCTATGTAACAGTAGTATATATGTACTATATGGACCACAGAGCCGCAGTTACATGAGCTGACTTGAACTGCCCCTGACATAAAGCATAACGTGTACAGTATGGGGATTATCGAGCAGTCTGCCATTGGCTGGCGCCTGAGTCACTCTCTCATTACCGAAGGTGCGTAATTACGCAGCGCGCCCTCAGAAACTTTGGCACACCTCCACTGTATAATCCCAAGTGTCAGCACTGTCCTTTACATCAACCGCACGGTGACGTCCGCACACGCCGCTATGAGTCAAGACACAATGCGAGGAAATCCCCAAGGCCGAGAAAACGACGAGAGGCCCCTTTAAATCGACGCTTCCTCGGCGTTAGTGCCAAGAGAGAGAGAGAGAGAGAGAGAGAGCTCTGATAAACAACAACACTGTTCTCAGTTCAGCCGCTTTTACCGGATTCAGCTCTTTACTGCGGCCTCGTCCAGGAAGAGGTGAGCTGATATTGATGATATCGAACAGTATTTGTAAAGGATTATAGCGAAGGGGCGATCGGTTCATGTTGGTTGGAGAAGCGGGCGGAAAGGCAGTTTATAATAGTGAGTAGATCCAACGGAAAGACACGTTATTGTGCTGTCGGGCTGTTGGAATGGCCAGGAAGGCATTTGCTACACCTGTTAGTTGTAATCGAGTGGAAATCACATGAGGGGACATTGCTTATTTCAGTGTAAACAGCGGAGAAGTGTGTGTGTGTGTGTGTGTGTGTGTTCGCGCACTTGCCAAACGCTGGCCGCTCTCTGACGCACCAGAGCTATTTTTGACAACCGTATTTACTCTCTTCCACAGGCTACGAGGACTTTCTCTCTGTTCCCAACAACGTTCGGCCGTCTGTTGTTCATACATTCGTTGTTGAATGCCATTGCGGAAGTGAGAAGCCTTTCGACTCGACACAAAGCTTGGGGCTGCGGGACATCTAGCGGCCGATCAGGAGAAGGCAGCCTCGTAGAGATGTACGGAGCTTCAGGCATCCCAGAGCTCATCCCGCCCAGCGGGCCGCCGAGGCAGCCCGGCCCGGCGGGCCAATACAACCCGGGACACCCCCAGGTCAACGGGCACGGCGGCGAGGCCAACCCTCAGAGACTGGGGCAGAGGGCACCAAAGCTGGGCCAGATCGGTCGCACCAAGAAAGGTGAGCGACCTTTAAAAGCAGTTTGTGTTTGTTTGTTTGTTTGTTTGTTTGTTTACTATTCTTCCTGCCGGTCCATCTAAACATACAGGCCTACATTAGGTCTGCCATTTAAACACACACACATATCAACCTGTAACTCATCAGAATGATAAACAATGAAACATGACATACAGGAGAGAATACATAAAAGACATAGACAAGCTCTAACAATGACACTACATATTCATGCATGTTACAATGACAGAGACTCTTTTTAACAATAACGCCTTTTAGTTAAATTCTACAACTAAACACTATTTTTTGAATCTGTCGAGGGAGTGAAATCTGTTCCTACATTGCTCGCTTTGTGACAGTGAACTGCCCTCGAGCCCTGTGTCTAGTTCACTTTAATTTTTGTACAAAATGTAATAATAATAATAATAGATTTTATTTATAAGCGCTTTTCTA